AACATTTTTTAGTAATTTTTCTTTGAAAAAAATTTCTTAAGGTCATGTAAAAAACTTTTTTACTGACGCATATAAACGATTAGGCTTACGCGTTTCTTTAATCCGTTATAAAAAGTAGAATATTCACTTTAAAAAATCTATTTGACTTAAAATGCCCTAACGTTTAAGGTCAAAGTCAATTTCAGGGTCACTATCTGATGTACCCTTTAAAATCTAACAATTTTTGTCAAGATCAGGTCTATTATTTGATTTTTAAATTATTTATTTTAGTGCGATATTTTAAATTAGACACCTTATATATTGTATAAATACACGGAAGAAACACATTCCTGAAATGATTCTATAACCCTAGAACTTATGTTTACTTGAATAATAATAAGTAAAATTACACCTCTTAATTAAATGTATTCTTCCAGGTGTTCTTCAAAGATCTTACCATGTCTATACATATAAGATGTGCAGACACTGAAGATTTGTTGAATATTCAACATTGTAACTTGCAGTGTTTACCTGAAAATTATCAAATGAAATACTACTTGTATCATGCTTTATCTTGGCCTCAATTAAGTTACGTAGCCGAAGATGAAAAACATCGCATAGTTGGATATGTTCTTGCAAAAATGGAGGAAGATTGTGAAGATAATCCACATGGTCACATAACAAGCTTAGCTGTTAAAAGGTCACACAGACGCTTAGGAATTGCTCAAAAGTTAATGAATCAAGCATCTAGAGCAATGGTTGAATGCTTCGGAGCGAAATATGTATCCTTACATGTGCGTAGAAGTAATAGAGCAGCTTTAAATTTATACACGAGCAGTTTACATTTTGAAGTATCAGAAGTTGAACCAAAATATTATGCAGATGGTGAAGATGCGTATGCAATGAAAAGAGATTTATCAAGCTTTCCACAAAAAAAATGTTTAGGGCAAAAAACGAACGATACAAATATTCAAGTTCCTTAAGACTATTGTATTCTTTCTGTGATTAAAGAATATATGTAATATAGTGCATTGCCTTATTTTCTTACATACTCGTTTCAAAAATTAGAATTTCAATATAAACATTTTTATCGACAGCTTTTTTATTCCAGGACGGTTGAACAGTATGGTAAGGTAAATCTTGTATGAAACATTAATATAAAATTATAATCAGTACAAATCATAAATAAGTCAACATTGTTAATGAGCTGCCTTTTAAATCAGACAAAGTGTTTTTAACTTCCGATGTTATTTAATTAAGCAATCAAAAGCATTTTTCACAATTTCTTGTGAATGTTAATAGTTCTACTTTAAAAAGTTTGGATAAAAGATCACATACTTAAATATTATATTTTTTTCACTACCAACATCATGATAATTCATTGTATCCTTCTCCAGTTTCAAAGGACGTTTGTTTCAATAGTGTGATACGTATATCACTCTGCTTAGATCTTGGAAAGCATAAGGGTTTTAAAGTGTTAGATAAAATAAAAAAAACGTATAACAGTTACTTCAAAAATTGTTACTACGTCATACTTTATTAAGTCTAAAAACATGATGTAACAGCCAAACGTAGACACAGCCAACTTAAAATTTTTAACAATTAGTTTTTAGTTGATATTATTAAAATGGTTGAATAAATACGATTGACGCTCTACGAAAATCAAAATTTTTTTATTAAGATACGTATAAAAATAAATTTTTTAAACTATTTTTTTAACTATGTGTTCTATAAAAGTTATTTCTTGCAATTATGCCAAGGAAAATTTTGTATACCTATACACGAAAAAAATGTTAAAGCACATTCTCAACATTTTTAAGAATAATTTAAGCCCTGACTTGGCGAAATTTATTGCAAAATGCATGAAAAAGATGTAAAATCATAGGTCAAACGAACAGCGTATCTGATTCTTTTATCTTTTGTCTCCAAATCACAAGTAATATTACTAAAATCAGGCTTTACGCATGATTTAGAGAATCAAGAAAATGCGTCAACTTTTTTTTGTAAAAAAATTGCATTTAAAAAAAAATTGGTTATTAAAATATCATCACGTTCTGTACATATTTCTGACTAGTATACATTTCATGTATCAGTTCCTTACCCTATCGATCTTTAGCTAGTTAATTTCACTTATTGTCATTGATTTATTCTGCTAATTCTTACGCGTGCAGAATGGTTGATGCACATTCTTCTAAGATCGTAGAACAATTCAAATTAATTTTAGTGCAATTCATTCTAGTTTATAAATAGCTTATGAATAGTGCAAAAAGTATATGTGTTACTATTTTTGCAGCTCTTACAGCCTAAATTTTTCTGGGTTACCGTGACAGCCTACTTTTCACTCACCATCTCTGTGTGAGGGTGTATTGTTGCACCTGTTACCAATCATCTTTTTTATTCTTATTGTACCATGGAAACAGTGACAGTTTCTCTGCTAAGACTTGTTACTACTCAGTCACATCTTACCGCTTAAACTGGTGCTTTTTGCACCAATGGAACATTGGGTCCACTCGTCAGTATATAGCTTTTCCCCGGGGAAGACTATGTCGCAAGATATGCTCTTTTAAGAACTGCTTCGTAGTCTACACTTATTCAAAACTTGGTACGGCATCGATTTTAACGTTGCTCAGCTCGAAATAGCTACGTACGGATAAATATTTACACCGTAAAACATACTCCCAGCTTTTCAAGCGCTTAAATTTAATATTATCTTACGCTAAGCACTATGTTTCAATGTGCACGAATTAAGAACAATAGTACAGAATGGTAATTTCAATTTTTAGTGCTTAAAAAAGTATCAGAATGTTTTATGGTACAAGTATTGCGTGAGACACTGAGATATGACGCTTAATTTAAATTTCAGCTTGAGAGTAGTTTAGAAAAGTTAGAAGAAAGTCAATGAACTGTTTAAATTTCATGTTTAAATTGTATTCACAAGATTTTGACGCATCATTTCTATACTTAAAATGATAATTAATTTAAAGTATTTTATGAATGTTATTATTTTTAGGTTAAATAAAATATAATCGCTTATAGAGGGCCATATATTTTTCAAAATCATTTTTTATTAATTAACTAGAAGGATAAGAATGGATATTTTTAAAATAATGTGTTGTTTTATTGATTTATTATTTTTTTTAATGTGAAGAGGACTTTTCTTTTTTTGTAAAAGGTTTCTAAAATCGTCTGTTTTCACTATAATTGCTTGGCTTACTAGAGTACTTACCCGTTTTGTTATTAGCTACTCAATCAGTGTAAGGTAAATGGAGCCTTGTATAAAATTACGTATACTAGTAGGTAACCTAAGTATTGTCTCGTCACTCTGTACTAATGGTGTGCATGTGGAGCTTAATTAGCTAACGTGCGTGTGCCATTTATGATAATTACCATTATTGTACAACGTTGGTCGAAATTGTAAAAAAAATTGAAACCTGTCGCAACTTCAGAGCGCATCTCAGTGAAGACTGTGATTGCAACGTTACCACCGATAAAATCATGAACTAACAATAATGACTGACTGGAGGAATACTTATACTGCTTATTGATTCATAGCTTTAATAGTGGTAACGCTTGGATCGAATTCCCCTAAGATGTGCTCTGAAGTAAGCGACTGCAATTAATATAAGCTGCTACTATATACAAGTACTTGTACTACTTTGCTAATAGAAAGACTTGTAATAAGTTAGCCTCCATCTACAATACAGGCTGGTTAAGCTGCTCTTTACTCTATGTTCTCTTAATCACGTGTCAATTGATATTTCATATTCTCAATACTAAGAATCTCTTTCGAGTTATGTCTTCCATATTGTTTTTGAGAAAGCCTACTTGTATCACATTTGTTATCTTTACTGTGTTCAAAATATCCATTTCATTTTATTATATAAAAAAAGTGCAAATTAGTGAATGGGCCATTACTCTTTATCATCCAACAACATCCTGACTCAATATTACTACGGTTTAGGCAAACTCTCCTCACGTTCATCAAATTAGACTTTGGTAAAGTTATTCAAGCCAGATCGTAAGGGTCGACTATGAGAAATCTTGAATAGATGATTGCGAAAGACCAATGCAAGAGAGCTTTAAAAGCCACCTCATCTTCCTCAATCACACTTGCCTGCGCTTGCCTTAAATCGTGCCAAAGCAGACTTGCACAGTGCATCGTTGACATCATCTTGTTTCTCAGCTTTTGCCTTTGATCTTGTGAGATAATATGTTGATATTCAAGTCCATAGCCATAGCCATGTCTGCGTTTGCGTTCAAGCTCGCACCACATCAACCTTAAACTGAACTTTCTCAATTCATAGCTGTTTTTCGCACAGTTTTCGATCTTGCAACACCTTCACCTCATTGAGTGTGGAGATTTTCACATGCACTCGCGCTCATTAAACATCTGAAAATTTTAATTTACTTGTTGATATATAAACATTTACTTATATACCGTATGTCTAAGTTTATTTTGCTTTCTACTTGACTTATGATCTAGTCTTTTTACCACGTGATAGATAAACTACCGTTTTTGCTATCACCTTTAACCAAGTGATGGGCACAGCGCCCACATGTAAATCTGCTCTCGATGGTGAGTATCAGTCGATTTTTCGGGCCGTAAAGGCAATTAAAGGGCCCTCGTACTATGGCCCTCCACTAATGTGTCATACCCATACATATGCAGGTGTAGTGTTGCGTGGTATTAATACGTTAACTTCACCATCAAACAGCGTTTTTCTTCCGTGTACTAAGCTAATAAACATTGTACCAAAGCAACGTATTGTCATTGGCCTGTCGTTGGAGGCAAGGAGAAAGTTGAAGCTTCCTGCTAAAGAGGTGGTAATAAGCTCAGTAAATCAGGTTCAACTTGAGCTCAATGCGTGCGTCTATTTGGGTCAGGACGGTACTGTTATACTTAAAGGCTATGCGATAATGACTTCTTCGATTGAAAAGTGTCCTGTTCATGGGCAGAATTTACAGCAAGAATCTGATGCTGCAGTTAAAGCAGTTTTTTTATCTTAATGGTAATAAAAATCATAAGTCTTGTGTTGTGGAGGTCACTCTGGGTAGTCGTGTTTGTCTGCTTAAGCTTGGTGGTGTGACGATAAGGTGAAGTCATTGTCATGTTAAGAATCATGTATCGCTTTCTTAATGCTTTAAGTGTTGGGGACTAAGGCATATTGCTGTAAATTGCACTATCCAGTTGTTTTGTAAGCGTTACAGTGAGCAGCAACCCCGTCGTGATTGCACTATATCTGATAAACAGAAAAATTGTTGCGTAAACTATGTAAATTCGAAATTAAAATTTGTCGCTCATGCTGCTTCAAATTGTAAGGCTTATTCACTGTTTTTAAGATGATCAATCGAAAAATATTTCATACGTATACTTATATATTATTACAAAATAAACCAGTATAAAAAAAAAAAATTGGAAGAATAATTTTATTTAAAAAAACATGATGAATAGTTATCCTAAATCAAAATTTGAACTTTCATGATTTTGAACATAACTGTAACATAATAAAAAATAAACACATCAGGTCAAATGCTCATACTAAATAATGTTATGATTTATGTGATTACTTTTAATACGTTAACGTTTTTTCTATTTGACAAGTGTACGATTAATGAAAAATTTCTTCCTAAACAATACTTTCTGATTCCCAATTATTTTCACATTAAATGTACATAAATGTCACTTCTTTAATTTTGTATCTTGATAACAGTACGTATAGTTTATCAAAAAAATAAAGGCATTTTTAATTATAAACCCAATTATTAGAAACTTTGCCCTTAAGATTTGTTAATTGTTATGGCAAGTGCTAAAACTAAAGAAAATTACTTTCTGTAAAGTTTTTTTTATCAGATTTGAATTGAAAAAAAGTCAGTCTCAATATAATTTAAATCTAAGGATAAGCAAAAAGTTCTATGACTAGTCACTCCTTTCGGTAGTAGTACTGACGCAATGCCAGTCTAGGGCATTGACAAACTATTTTTT